CCCCCACCCGGTCCGGTGCATAGGCGTACCGGTCCCGCCCCTACCGTCGCACTCTGCGGTACAGTACGAGTACCGGTACCGTACTAGTACCTCGACCGGCACTGGTACTCGAGTACAGTCGCAAGTTCCGTCTGTAGACTATCGGCACCTTTGCGCAAGCCATCGTCCCAGCCTAGCTCAGCCCAGCAGAATCCCCCTTTCCCAACCTCCACACTCGCAACACCCCCCCGTGCCAGTAATGGCGAAAACCCTCCCCGAAAAGGGGCTCATCCACCATCCCCTCCGTCGGCGTCGTTGTCTTCATCAGATACCGGTTCTGTAGTGTACTCGAGTACAGTACGGTACCCTACACCTGCTTGAGTGGGTAGTTTGGATCAAAGAGGCTCCACAATGCGAGTGATAGGGGGAAATTGCACCCTCTAGGTAAAGCACGATGGAGGGAAGAAATCAACCTACTGTACATGTACCCGCAAGTAAGCTGCAGGGGATGACAAGGATGTTTATCAAGATATCGACAATCCTTCTCCTGCGGTAGACTTTGCCTTCAATTGTTGAATTGAGTAAAGCGAATTGAGAGCAAGGCAGATTGAATTGATCCTCCCGGCTCAATTCCTCGACCCTCGTGCTCATGTGCTTGTAGAATCAAGCACTCTCATGCGCAGCTAAATCATCACGATACCGGGAATCCAGTACCGGTACTTACGGCCCGTCAATCCAGGGTTAGGGCTCCATCAATCGTCATGCTATCATCTGATACCGTAGCGAACGACGAACCCCACAACCCCTCCTTGCTCCTTCACTTCCCTCTCCTCCCACCTCTTCCCCTCTCCCCATCTCAAGTCAATCCCCATCTACACCTTCTGCCGGTATCGCCTGCTCGCTCGGCCAGCCCTGCCTGCAGGAACGACCTGACTTACCCTCCCAGAAGCACAAGCCCAAGCACGAATACCGTTGCGAGAACACGTCGCACGTGTAACCCTGCCAGCGAAGCATCCACCCGGACAGTGATCCCTGCCATCCATATGCATCATGCACGGCAAAAATGAAGAAGAAAATGAATGCAAGTCCCTGGCTGGAGTAACCCGTTGTGGAAGTGTAGATCTGTGTTTTTTTGCTTTGGTTGGCTCAATGTTGATGTGTCTGATGCGTTTGCAGGATTGAACTTTTTCCTTTCTTTTGCTTACTCCCTTTCACTTTGCCTGTCGCAGCCAGTGGCAAAGATGGGGAGCAGGGTATGGAATGTCATGGAAGCTGGGCTTAGTTGCGGCGGTGGTGGTACGGGCACTCGAGCACTGGGTGTTCCTGCTTTTGGTTTGCTTTTGACTTGCGAGAAGATAGCGGCTCTCTCGCGTGAGGTACCGGTAGACGAACCCACTGTGATTTCCCCCCCCCCTCTCCTCCGAAAGGCGGTGATTTTGCTGTTGGGTGGGTCCTGATCAATTTACGCTAGTCTCCTCGAGAATCAGCGGGCGAGCTCTACCGGCGCAGGTACGTATGATGCTCCACCTCGCCAGGCCCTCCCGCTCCTACGGTATTCCGCGATACGAGTGCCTGAGACTATGCTCATCGCGGTCCATTGCAGTGCACTTCTCCATACGATGCGACCCCAGTATGGTGCGAGCACCGTATCCTACCGGTAATCTTCTCCCACACGCAACCCTTCCATGCACTTTCTACACCAAACCGTGATCACCCGCAACCCCATTTTATAAATATAACACTTACTTTGCCCATTCCCCATGCCCTAGCACAGCAGAATGGAGTAGAAACCGCAAGAATCCCCTTACCATACCCACCGCAAGGAGGCGAAGATATGGGGTAAAATCATTGGCCACCCCTACCGGTGGTCGGCGATAGTAGTCATGGAATATCACTCGATTTTGGTCTCGCCCGGACCAGGATTATCCTAGGTGTG